TTTTTTTTTTTTTTTTTTTTTATTGCATTTTAGGTTTTGGGGTACATGTGTGTACCTATGCAACAATCTTGCATGTTCATCACATGTACCCCAAAACCTAAAATGCAATAAAAAAAAAAGAAAAAAAAAAGAGAAAAAAAAAAAAAATTAAAAATTAAAATTAAAAAAGTGGTCATTTTATATCTGCTTGTAGTATTTTCTAGGTTTTTACAATACACATGTACTGCTTCTATAACAGTTTCTATGGAAAATTTATGACTTTTCTGTGGTATCAATAGATGCATTCATATTGCTTCATCATAGAAAATTTGTTAGAAAAGAGACAGATACTGACATGAGTGGAAGCTAAAGGGAAACTGGGGGATTTTGGAAAAAGGGTCTTAACTTTAATTGTTTAACTCTTTATAATACTTTGAATTTATCAAGATACATTAATTCCCTTTCATGTCATTTCACATACACAATGCTGTGCACTAAAAATGTTGTCTTGGACTTTTTCTCATTGGAGGCATTACAGCTCTTTTCATTATTATTGGATAGCTCAGTGTAAGATGTACTTTGCTAAATAAACTCACAAAGCATGAAGAATTCTAGATACCTCTGCATAATAATCAACCTGTTTCCTTTTCACCAGGAAGGGTCAAGCTTAATGGTTGTCAGGATCACCACTATATATGCAAATTGGATCCCTACAAAATAAGCAACCATTTTAGAGTATACATATTGAGTAAAGGAATATAAAAATTACTTTCACTAAGAGAGTACTCAATTTCAGTGGAATATACAACAAACCAATTTCATATCATTTATTTCCAGTTTCTTAAGTTTTGTTATTTGAGAATTGTTCATGTTTTAAATTTAAGACTGATCTTCCAAAGTCCAACTTTTTTTTTAATTGCATTTTAGGTTTTGGGGTACATGTGAAGAACATGCAAGATTGTTGCATAGGTACATACATGGCAGTGTCCCCATGCCATCTCTCCCCAACTCCCCACCCCCCGCTGTCCCTCCCATATTTCCCCCCAACAGACCCCAGTGTGTGATGCTCCCCTCCCTGTGTCCATGTGTTCTCATTGTTCAACACCCGCCTATGAGTGAGAACATGCAGTCTGACACAAAAGCAGAAAATCAAACAACTTTTTTAAAAACAGAAAATCACTTGGCATATTGAACATTTATTTATTTGGTCAGAGTCAATTAGATCTGGAGGTTAAACATGTATGAGTTTGGGCCAGGAGTGGTGACTCACATCTGTAATCCCAGCACTCTGGGAGGCCAAGGCGGGTGAATCACCTGAGGTCAGGAGTTCAAGACCAGCCTGACTAAATGGAGAAACCCCATCTCTACTAAAAATACAAACTTAGCCAGGTGTGGTGGTGCATGCCTGTAATCCAAGCTACTTGGGAGGCTGAGGCAGGAGAATCACCTGAACTAAGGACGTGGAGGTTGCGATGAGCTGAGATTGCACCACTGCACTCCAGCCTGGGCAACAAGAGTGAAACTCTGTCTCAAAAAAAAAAAAAAGGTATGGGTTCGAAGCCCACCTCTGATTGGCCGCATAACCTTAGGCAAGTTATCTAGCCTAGCTAGATCTCAGTTTTGTTTTGTTTTTTTCAATCTATAAAATGCAGAAAACACTATTTACCTCAGAGAGTTGTGATGATTAGATGAGATTACGCTGCCTGTTACATAGTGCACTCAATAAATATCCATGACAATGATGGTGATGACTCTTGTAATCCTGACATGCCAGTTCCAATATATCCCAGTTCCGTTATATCCCAAGAATGTTGAGGATGCTCCTTTACATCTCCACATAGATGTCTGATAGGTATCTCAGTCTTCCCAGACATAGCAAGGCTACTGTTCCCACTTCAGCCTGCTTCTTCCCTGGGGGCCCTATCTCAGTAACCCGGGAGTCATTTTTTAGGACCTCAACCTAGCAGTCATTTCTATCCTCTTTTTCACTACATGGCAGCAAATTCCTATGACTTCTATGTTCAATCCATTTTGGTCTTACAGCTTAGATAGGTCTATGGCTACCACACCAGTCCAAGTCAGCATCATCTTTAGCTTGGGCAACTGCAAACACTCTTGCTATAGCTCCCTGTTTTCACTCGTGTCCTCTAGACTCCTTAAGTCTATTTCTCACTTAGCTACCAGAGTAAGTCTTTAAAATGTAACCCAGGTGATGTCACTTCCCTGCTCAAAAAAATCCTTCAATGGCTCCCCATCACACAGAACAAAATTCAAAGCCCTTCCCTGTCCAAAAGACCCTAAGTGATAAGACTTCTGCCAACCTCCTCTCCTAGCACCTTCCTCCTCTCTCGCTCAGCTGCAGCCATCCTGGCCTCCTTTGCTTTTCTGTGAGCATCTTGAGATGGCAAGACACACCTCTGCCTCTGCACCCTTAGATATGCCAGTCCTTCTGTGTGACGCATTCCTTCCCCAGATAGCTGCATGGCATTGCATCCCACTCCTCTGCTCAAGTATCAGGCTTTTCCTAGACACCCCATCAAAAGAAGCACCTCCATAGCTCTGTTTTATTTTTCTGTATGGCATTGCCATGACTTATTTTATGTGTGTGTGTACATGTACTTGTATGTATATAAATATAAATTCATTTATAGTTTGTCTCCCAACTCATACATAAGGTCAATAAAGGTGAAACCTTCATTTTATTCATTCACTGCTGGATTCCCACTGTCAGGAATGGTGCTTAGTACCTGGTAAGTATTAAAGAAATACTTTTCAATACACGGAGAGTTTTTCTTGTATTAAAATTAGTTTGGATTTAATTAAGTACTCCAATCACTACCAAAATGAGCCCTAAACAAAAAAAGCAAGAAAGAAGTTACATAGGATTAGTTCTTTTATATTCTGTGTACCTTGCAGAAACCTGTTAGAAAGCTGGGGTCATACAATCCTTTATTTTTACTCAGGAAACTGAGTAAAATCTTTTATTCAGGAAATCTAGGGGCAGTGTAACAGAAAAAGTTCCTTTCACTTCATTACGGTGCTGGAAGATGTAAGTGTTTAAAACAATACAAAAAGTTTCTGCATTTAAAATAATCAGTGATGACTTGAATGAAATATTTTGTAATAAGTAAAAAGAGAAAGATTTCCCAGGTTTTATTTATTATTACATGGCTCTATATAAAGAAATTATGATATTATGGGATAAAATTGTTTTGAGACAAAAAGAAAAAATTCACATCAGAGGCTGGGTGAGGTGGCTGGCCAGGCACAGTGGCTCAGGCCTATCTATAATCCAGCTCTTCTGGAGGCTGAGGCAAGTGGATCACTTGAGCTTAGGAGTTTGACACTGGCCTGGGCAACATGGCAGAAGCCTATTTCTACTAAAAATACAAAAATTAGCCAATGCGGTAGCAAGCCCCTGTAGTCCTGGCTACTCGGGAAGCTGAGGCACAAGAATTGAACCTGGGAGGCAGAGGTTGAAGTGAGCCGAAATAGTGCCACTGCACTAAAGTCTGGGTGACAGAGTGAGACACAGTGTTTTTGTTTTGTTTTGTTTAAAAAAAAAAACAAAAAAAAAAACAGAGGCACCTCAGTGTTAATAAGCTAAAAAATAATCCTCTCCCTCAATAATTATTTTGTAGAAATCCCCAACTGTGGCTAAATGGTTTGGCATAGCTAAATACATGAAACTTAAATTCACCAAAAAAATGAAGTTGTTTTAACCTACTGTATGTTTAAATTATGATGGCTACTATGAGCCATAAAATATTTTATAATAAAACTGTCGATTCTAACCAATACAAAGCAGTATATAAGATTCCAGCTACTAACCCTCTGAACATCGATGACTTTATCTGTGCTGTTTTTATGGCGCTTAATACCTTGTTATCTTTTATTTGCAGGTAGTAGCATTTCTGGACATAGGATTTTTGTGTTTCATCTTTGCAGCTCCTACAGTGTTAGCACAATGACTGGGCCACTCAGTACATGTTTTCCGAATGAAAGAATGAATGAATGAGGTGGAGGGTTAAAGTTCAGGAATAGTGGCAGTAAACGCGGCAAACACATAATAGTGAATACATATTTGGAGAGTGCTAAATAAGCCCAATTACTGCTTTTCTATATCATATCCTATGTACGCAATGTATAGAGACTTAGACACATCTATAAATGTCGTTTATGTGCACTCTGTTTTGCATCCCAGCAATTATCACAACTTCATCATTCACGTAGTCATTTTCTTAAGTCTGTCTTCTCCACTTTAAATCCCAGAGGGTAAGGACTGCATATGGCTTCTGAGAGCTTCAGCATCTCAGGACAGTGGGGGCCCAATAAATATATTTTGAATAATGAATGCAGTTAGGGCTGTGCCACTACATAACTTGCCCATGACTGGGCCCCATTTTAGCTGAGTTTACCAGGCTTCTCACAGCTTTACAGAATCTGACCATTTATTTTTCAATGGTTTTAGGATACACACTTTTCCACATGCATCGTACAGTTGATAGTATCTTAGTACCATGTATAATTTAAACAACAGTATTTTTTTCTTTCTGAGTATCACACAAAATAAGTCTCAAGAAACAGTATTTTCCAATGAATGAAATACAGTTACTGTTAATTTCATTTTAATATGGAAAAAACAAAAACTTCAAGTACTCACATCAATTAAATCGGAAAGATCATGTATATAATACTTGAAAACTGAGGCATTGGTGGCTTCAAGTGTTAGGAGATATTCGTTCCGTGCCTTAATCGATTTTAGCTTATTTTCTGAATATTTTGCTTGTCTCTGGAATGAAGAAGATCCAGGCATTGAGAAAGAAAGCAAAGTCGTTTTTACATACATGAATTTTTATTAACCGTAACAATTTATTCCATATATAAAAATGACCCTCAAAGTCCTCTGCCAAAAGTACATTTTGAATCTGATTTAAATAGCAAACTAAAATTACCCAGCTATGGGGAATAATAACAATGTATTTGGGCTTCAGGCCCATTTGCAATGAAATCTCCTTGTTAATATTCAAGTTCTCCACACTGTGTATTGAATACTTGGCATTCATCACTAAATGATGTCCAGCTGTTATTACATGATTTTTACATTTCTTAGACATTTCTCATTCCCATGGGAGGAAATGCATGTCATTTCACAATAATTTACAATGTGTGGATATCAGCTATTGCATCAGTGTTCTTAGTACTGTCTCCTCAAATGAAGGCAGAAGAGCTCTGCAATATCTTTTTACTTACTTTTTCTTTCATTTTTTCAATTTTCTTTACAGAGCTTCGCCGTTGATGTCTCTCCTCTAGTCGAATATGAAAGACTGGATCACCAGATCTTCCAATTTGCTTTTCCTCTTGTTTTTCAGCCTCTTTCAGCTTACTCTCGGCACTGATGCTCTCTGCATGATACATATGGTATGTTTTCATCACCTGTGGAAAGTGACCCAAATCATTACAAGATGTCTGTCTGTAATTTAGAGAGTAAATGGGAACCATTTATAGGACATATACGATATACATACCACCTTCCAAATGGCAGAGGGGGAAAGTCAGGTTGTTAGTAAAATAAGTGAATTATGGACTACTGCTTCTACATAAAGCACACAGAAATATGCAAATTCATCTACTAGGAAAAGGCACTTAGTGGACAGGATTTGATAAGAAAATGATTTACAGTCTTTTATATACTTTTCAATGTACTTGAAACGTTATCTTAAAAGTATTTCTGTAAAATCTTCTCTACATTATTAATTTGCAGAATAAACCATTTATTCGTGGATCAATTTTAGCCCTACCCAAACCTAAATCAGTACAGTCATTATTAAGGGAATTTTATTGCATAAAATCTACCTGTCAAAGTAAAAAATGTAAATATTAAGGTTCATACACAGTTTGAGTTGAAAAAAACATTGTTCTTCTGACCACAAATACTTTACGTTCAATGAAGAAAACATTTATTTTCTTTAAAAAACAAAAACAAAAAACAAAGAATAATATAGGCTGGGCATGCTGGCTCATGCCTGTAATCCCAGCACTTTGTGAGGCCAAGGTGGGCAGATCACTTGAGGTCAGGAGTTCGAGACCAGCCTGGCCAACATGGTGAAACCCTGTCTCTAGTAAATACCAAAAGTTAGCCAGGCATGGTGGCACACCTGTAATCCAGCTACTCAGGAGGCTGAGGCAGGAGACTCGCTTGAACCCAGAGGTTGCAGTGAGCTGAGACTGCGCCACTGCACTCTAGCCTGGGTGACAGAGCAAGACTCTGTCTCAAAATAATAATAATAAATAAATAAATAAAATAAAAAGCAATCAAGAATAACCACTGTCAAGATTTTAGTATACAGCCTTCCAGCCTTCTTCCTATCAAAATAAACACACACACACACACACACACACACACACACACACACACACACACACACACTTCTTCCTTTAAAAATGCCATATATGCCTGGCTACTGTAGTGAGAAAAGGGGACTTAGTTAAAACTAAAGTCAGGGCAGGGCACGGTGGCTTCGTGCCTGAAATCTCAGCACATTTTAGAAGGCCAAGGTGAGAGGATTACTTGAGCCTAAGAGCTTGAGACCAGCCTAGGCAACACAGCGGGACCCTGTCTCTACAAAAATTAAAAAAAAATTTAGTTGGACCTGGTGGTGCATGCCTATAGAGCCAGCTACCTGGGAGGCTGAGGAAAGGGGATCACTTGAGCCTGGGAGGCGGAGGTTGCAGTGAGCTGAGACTGTGTCACTGTACTCCAGCCTTGGTGACAGAGTGAGACCTTGTCTCAAAAAAATAAAATAAAATATAAATAAATAAATACATAAATAAAATAAAATGCCATATATGATTTCTCTCTTTAAAAAACTGAGCTCATCCTGTATTTGTAACTTTTAGATTGTAATGTCCTTTGCCACTTATATATCAGAGCATATTTTCCTATATCATTATTCTTCTAAACATAATTTTAAGTGCTACATACTATTTTTCTATATGACTGTGCCATAATTTAATTCCCTATTGTTAAAAACTTCAGGATATTTTGACTATTTGCTTTAAAAAGTTGTGTTGGAAACCTTTGACATATATCTCATTTCTTCTCTTAGAAATGACATATGTAATTTTAATTTTAATTAATTTAGGGATATATAGAACATAAAAATTTCATAATGTAAAATTTATACAATGAATCCTCAATTATTACATATTTGCTTATATTACTGTTACAAAAAATGTTTGTGTGCAAAATTGTGTCATATTTTCTAGGACAAATTTTCAGAAATAGAATTGCAGGGTTAGAGCATATACACATTTTTTAGACTTAGTAATATATTGCCAATTTTACACTCAGCTAATTAAAGCAAACTCATCCATAGCATTATCTCTGAAAGTATTTCAGACAACACAGTTGTTTGATAAATATTTTCTCAAACAATAAACAAGCTATTATTTTTATAATAGTATCTATGAATCTGTATGTCATCTCTGTATTCTTAGATACAAGAGAATAACAGATTTCAGAGTTACAGATTTTACCTGAAAATCATAATTTTTCCAATATAATTTCAGTATGCTTTCATATGTAGTCAGATATCTGGGTGAATTAAAAAACCTGTATATTTTGAACACAATTATGCTCCCTAAAAGAAACAACACATGTAAGGTATGATGACTAAAATGCAAAGGATGTATCAAGGAGCATAACCAAACTTGGCACCCAGTGCTAAACATTCATGGCAGAACTTTCGTATAAATGATGTCAAATTCTCTTCTGCAGAAGACAGACTTCATTTCATATGCAAATAACCACATTATTCAGAGCCAATTTTATAACTAAGGTGTAGGAAGTTGAGAAGAATGCAATGTTTTCAAGTAATGAATCTGATTTTTCTCATTTCAAGAGATGAGTTTTTAAATAGTTTGAGACCTGGAAGCATCACTGGAATAAATATATTTATTTAGGTTAACCCATATGAAATTGCTCTTTCTGTAGGTTATTAAAAAGGTGGAAAATCAGCACTTTCTTATGGTTCAACTCAACACATATTCTCAAGATGACTATTTTGAAGAGTAAGACACGGGGGTTAACGAAGAAGCTTTACTTATTTTCATAAAATCTGATGATGGCTTTCCTTAAAAATGTAAGCTAGTAAATCATGTCAAAGACATTACAGAGCCAGAACAAAGTAAGGGGTAAACTACAAAGCACTGGCAGCTTGTTCTCAGCCGTGAGTAACTGGAAAGTTGTCTGTTTTTAGTAATTATTGAACCTGTCTGGGAGAAGTTTGGTTGGCTACTTCAGTTTAAAAGAAAAATAAAATAGCAGTAGGAAGCAGCTCAGCAGCTGGAAAATGAAAAGGGAGTCACCCTGCAGCTGGGCAAACAGCAAGGTCACCAAATCTACACAAAACCTGCGTTTACTCCTAGACTTGGCTCTGTTATTCCCTGCCTGAAGCAAACCCACACACTATTATATTTGGGTCTTGGTTCCAGTTACATCTTAAAATGAGAGGGTGTAAACACACACACACACACAAACACACACACAAACACACACACACACACACACACACTGCTCAGCTCTCTGTATTCTTGCTAATAGCAAAGAGAAAAGAGAACACGTGACTCTCATCACACTTGGATGAAAAGGTACCCTAGGCCACTCTGAGTATCTGAGAAATATTTCTTTTAAATATATTACCAAAGAAAAAGCCTCGATTTCTGATGCTTGCTTGACTTGGACACTGAGGACTAGCATAAACAGGTAATTTGCATAAACTAAGCCTTAGTATCAGAGAAAGGATACTGCGCTGACTGCCAGCAGGGTGTTCCTTAGACTAGTCTGAGTTAAAAAGAAAACATTTGAGTCTGACCTAACGCTGGAAAGAAAAGAGTGTATCTCATCATTATGTGGTTCAGCACAATAGCTGAGGATTCTCTACCTAGTTCAGTGGTGATTTCCAGAAAGCAAATTTCTTTGTTGAGTTTGACTTAGGGTTTCCACTATTCACTAAAATGTTAACAGTTACAGTGAATGAATTTTAAAAGTTGGGGAGATAAACACTAAACACTTTTCGAGAACTCTAATTGCAGATAATGAGCGCAAGTACAAACTGCCTTATTTAAAGTGTAAGCTGTTGACAGAAGTCAAATGTATTTTGTATTTAAAATAAAATAACAGTTTTCTTTTTCAGAGAAGTTAAAAAAAACTTCCATTTTTTTTTTAACAGGTGCATTTTGAATACACACTCAAAGAAAATAACAGCTTCTCCACCAGCTTAACGCAAACACAAGCCTTTGCATACCAAATGACCTGACAGGCATATAACCATGTAAATGTACTCCCATTGCCTATTTTCCTGTTTGAATTCTTCTCTATTAAAACTTCATGCATAATTCTCCATTCAATACACCTAATTTATCTTTCTTGCTCCATTTTTCCTCAACTGTGGAAAAAACAGTCAGCTAGAAAGTGACTCACATCATAAATTTCTTTAGGAGATTGGGATATCCTAATGATAACTTGCAGAGAAGTTAATGTATTTTTCTTATTGACACACCCGTATCATGTATCTGACACTACTCTTACGGTTTAAATCAAAATAATGAAAATACCTGTAGCAAATTTAATACTTAGTGTTAAGAAATCATTATCTGAAAACTACATACGTGTTGGATAAGATCAATATATTAATGCTATAGTTTCTACTTTTTGACTACTAGCTCAAAAGTTAGAAGACAGGGATCCCAGGACTGGATCTACAATTACCAGGTGTGGGGAAGTTATTTAAAGCCTCTGCTTACTTTACAAGGTTGTCATGGATGCCAAATTGTGTGTCCCTGTGTGTGTGTGTTTTAATATAAATTTTATTGAGTATTTACCAAATATGTTATATCTATGTACACAATATATACAGTATCACTAATACAGATATGTACATATATGTGTCTAATTTACTTTAGCAAGCATTATATAATGCTTACTATGTGCTAGACATAGTTTTAAGCATTTTATAAATAACATATGTAAACCTTCTAGGAACTCTTATGAGGTAGGTACCTTTATCCTTCCCTTTATGCTGATGAAAAAACTGAGGCACAGAGAGGTTACGTAACTTGTCCAAGGTCATACAGCCGGCAGAGCGATGGTGGGAACTCAAGCGGCCTGGCTTCAGTTTAGATGTTTTGGATTGCTATGCCAAAACCTTTGGAAAGTCTGAAGTATAATACAATTGGAAGGCCTCTTTATCTAAGGATACAGTCACTATTAGTTATATTTAGGAATGGAAGAAAAGAGGGGATGAAAGACATTTATTTATTCAGCATGTGCTTGATGCTTACCACCCATAAGGCACTCATGGGTGTAAAAAGAAAGACTTGGTTCCCATCTTCTAAGAGTTAAAAATTTTGGAGACTAAGAAATGGGCCTTTGA